CAACTAAGTGACTGTCATGTAGGTTGAGGGCTTTAAAATTTTGATTAGCTTGAATTTTCATGTTAAGTATAAACTATAAAGTATAGCCTATATCTCTACTCTTATCTCCCCTGAAGCACGGCACACAAATTGCCCTTAAGAAGTACCAGTTTTGATGAACTGAATTCACCTTCCTTAGGTGGGTAATCCAAGTGGCAGCTACTACTAGCAAAGGTCTACAACAAATGTTTTTAATGTACTGTAATGCATATTCCAGGCAGAGGGAATGAGCCATACAAACCCCTATTTACTATAATTGCTGCTTGTACCGATTAAAAATGAGAATTAGCCCAATCCAGGTGAGGAAGAGCTTACAAAAAAGACAGTGCTTGGCATGAGATCCCAATTCGACCCCAAGGAATGAACACAGCTGGTGGTTGAGAACCTTCACGCTCATTCCATATAAAGAATCTTGCCCTCCTTCCCTAGACAGTATCGGCTCCCGAGCACTTGGAGCTCATGTGTCAGTGGTGAGGATGTGGGACACATAGGCACCTTGATGGGTACGGATGGGGGAAGCACACTCGCATATCAGGGAGACATTGGGAAGCCAGGAGGGGTTTCATTGTTTTTCACTGACTCCACTGCCTCCAAAGCAGCTTTTAGGAAGAGCTTGTCCTTGGTATCTCTGTGAGTGTAAAGGTAAGGATGAAATGCTGCAGAAAGTGCAGCCCAGACTAGGTGTCCTGGGGGCTTCTAGGCAGAGGACCTGGGGTGGGGAAGATCAAGTAAAGGGAGAGGGGAAAAATACGCTGCTGAGTTTAATCTGAACAGTGTATCCATCACCCAAAATGATACAAATCAGCCATTACTGGATCATGCAGAAGCAACTCTCCTACCTGCGATCCCTTCTTTGCTTTCTAAACCTCTTTTCAGCTCAGCCTAATGAATTGTCAGAACTGTCAGACAGCTCTAAGGAATGACAAATGTCTATGATTTGCTGCTGCTGCTGCTATTTTGCTAGAAACACCTGATGTATGTAGTCTTGCATTCTTCAGTTTCGAATTAGAGACTTGGAAAACAAAATCAACCTTGATAAATTTAGCAATTTTTCCACTGTTCTGTAAGCTGAACTGAATGGATAGTTTTAAAGATAAAGAACTCTCTTTTGTTCTTATAATATGTACATGGCATAGGATAAATCTCAAACAAAGAGCTAACATCTCAGTGGTGGAGCATATGTGTGTGGGGGAGGAGGGATAATCCCCAAGTCATGGATTAGTGACATTATTATTGTCAAGATTAATAATCTGTTCTTTTAAAGCAAGTTACACTGTCTTGATTAATGTCATTAATGGTCACCAGGATTTGAAAGCATTGGATTTGTGTAGCAAGAATCCAAGAACAGCTAGCATTTCATGGGACCACTGGGGATCTTTACTTATAGTAGAAGAAACAGGACCAATTTAGAGAGATTATTTGATACTTTAAAAGTTGAACAAAAATATGTACTAATAAAGAAATTCCTCTAGTGATATGAAAATTGTCCTAGATATTGCATATTCAATTTAGCACAAAGATGAAAGAAGGCTGTAGTTGGATAATATATTTTTCTGACACAACCTTCTTCAAATATCTGGAAATTTAGTGCAAATTTGGATAAGTTGCAATAAAGAAAATATTTGACTCATGGAGATCATTCCCTAGATTTTCCATTACATTTTTATGAATATGCACAGAATATGTACATGTTCTGACTATGTAGTTATAAAACTGATATGTTTAAATAGTTTTCTTTATCCTCATCTCTCAATATTTATTTTCCTCATGCAATGATTTTACATTAGCTATAACAGGTAGAAAAAATTACAGTGCTTTTTTTGAGATCCAAATACCACTGAATAAACATTTCTTTTAGCTTATCAGCCATATTATGGTCCTCAGCCAAAGTTATATCAGTTATAAAATGTTATGATCCTAGCCAGTAAATCACTTCTATTTCTTCCTATGAGTCTCCTAATAAGATGCTCCTGTTTATAAAATCTTTCCTTTTGTGTCAAATTCTAATATTTCACAGAACCTATATTCATGAAAGCAGAAGAGGCCTGGGGGTTACATTTTGAAAGTTGTAAGAATATATACTTGCAAGTCTTGTTATGGTTTAAATATGAAGAGTCTCTCAAAGACACAGGTATTGAAGGCTTGGTGGCCAATGCAGCACAATGCTCAGAGGTGGAGCCTAAAGATAAGATTAGGTCATGAGCTTGCTAACCTCAGCAGTGGATTAATCCCCTGAAAATTTCACAGTCTTTTAAGAGATGGGGCCCAGTTGGAGGGAGTAAGTCACTAGGGGCTTTGAAAAAGGTATGTCTTCCCTCCCCTTTTCTCTGTCTTTATCTTTGTCTCTGGTTCTCTGCTCTCTTTCTGCCTCGGGTTCACCATGAAATGAGCCGCTCAGTCCAACATCAGTCCCGCCACCATGAAGTTTCTCTCTTGACCCAGGGCTAAAAGCAAGGAAGCCAGATGACTACAGTCTGAAACTTCTGAAAGTGAGAGCTAAAATTCATCTTTCTTTCTTTAAATTTTCGAGGTATTTTGTCACAGCAATGGAAACGCTAACCCAATGCTTTATGTTTTCTGGAATGGATGTGTGCATGTTGGGACCAGCAAACACTGTCAGAGAGATGAATGAAGATGCATAATATCTTTGCTGGGGAACCAGGATCTTCACCGGACTGGAGCGGAGTCTTAAACTGACTCAAACCTCCAGATTTATTGGAAACAAGAAAGCCCATAGATTTTTGCAGAGTACAGATGTTTGTCTTAGGTAGCAAGGCAGGCAAGCAAGGCATAGTGACACTTTGGCTGAATAATTAACTTCTATGTGATTGTCCTCTTGGGAGCTTCCTTGTTCTCCCCATAAGATCTATCTCTGTTCAAAATGGCAAACTATCCTGTCTTCAAGAAGTTTGGACTCCTCAGTTAGCAGTCTTCCCACTCCTGAGTTAACCTGAGTGGACATCAACCCTTCAGGTGTCACAAGGAACTCTGCAGATGACTGAGAAGGCACCCTAATGAGTGAGTGAGACTGCTTATGTCCCCACAGTACAAAACAGAACCTGGATCCCTATGAAGATAATTTGCATTGTACTAGTCTGTATTACTGAGTAGTCAGTGGATTAAAGAATAATAGAAAGGCAGAATGCCATAGAAAACTACATGTGTTTTGGGTTCAGAAAGTTTGGGGTTCTCTTCGCTTCCTTGTAGTTTTGGACAGGTTCTTCATCTATGAAATGAAAATTCAGAGTATTAATTATTGTTCCCAAGAATAAAAATAGTGTCCATTATATGTAGCTCATAATAAGTTCTCCACAGATCATAAATATGAAGGAACAAAAATTTATATTTTGGCCATATAAGCTAACAACAAGTGATTCTCCTAGATGAATGCTTTTATTTTCTAACAAATGTATATTTGGATCCTTTAATAATCTAAGTTCTCACTTCCATGCTGTTTCTGGAGAAGCCATTTAGATTCACTTGTCAGCAATAATTCTGTAGTTGGAAACATCCGCACTTGAATCAGTGATAATATAAGCATTTTCCCCTTCTGCCCTAAAGACTTTCCCAAACCCTTAGTCACAGGAAAGGGGAGGAATTGTATTTCTCCACATAACAATGTGAAAGGGTGGGGCAGAAAAGGAAGAAAAGAAAAATGCATGAGGAAATGGAAAGGCCACGATAATAATACTTGATAACTGTATAAAATGTATGCTTTTGAGAATTATTTCAACTGCATAAAGCACTTAATATTTGTAAAATGCTTCATAATGGCTACCAGATAGTTTTCCCCAGTAACCCACTGAAATGTGCTGATATGATGACCTCTATCTGACAGGGCCAGAGGAGGCTGTAGTAAGAGGAGGGAGATTAAACAATCTCTTTAGGGAGAGGGCTTTTGAGTTTCCATGGAAGCATCTACAAAACAGTGGGCTTAGTTCTTTTCCCCACCTGCCTGATTAGTTCCGGACAGTAAGTGAAGTACTAGAATGCAGAGCTGGAGATAAAGATGCTGATTTTTGAGTCAAAAAGTGGGACATTTAAAAACTGAGTGACTCCAATGAGGAAGTGATACTTTACCTTTTTTCTGGACTGGATCTCTGGATTATTTGGAGAGAAACAATGAACTCAAGGTTACAGAAATTCTGTAAGGGGTTAAAAGTCAAGTACATCTCAGCAGCAGCCCCCCTTTACCTGGGGAGCTGGGGGAGAACTCAGATGCCCATGTGAAGAGCTAGGACCGCAAAACCCCATCCGATAAACTTCCTCCTTTGTGCTATTTCATAGAAAAAAAGGAAGCCTGATTTCTGAATTTGGTGTACTTTACATTTCATTTTTTAGGAAAATAGTGGTTTTCTTTCTATTTTCTATAAAATGTACAACTCTTCATGCAAAATATGGAAGATCATAGGGAAATTAACCTTTTTCTTCACATCCATTTTTGCTCTCACCTCTCTCTCACCCCACTACGCAGTCCCTTCATCTCCGCAGGCTGATAACTACAATCATGGATAACTGAGCTGAAAGCTGGGGAGAAAGGAGTCAAGGAGATGAAAGAAATCCAAACTTTCCCTTTTAAAGAAGAAAAACAGCATTCACTTCTGCTGCGACAAGAATAAAATAGCAAAGTTTAAAATTTAGGCAATGGATTTGGAAGTATTGAACAAGACAGAACCAACATATTCATTTGTCCAGGGTGCAGGGTGTGAGACAGGCTGTGTTTGTAATGCTGGGCCCGGTCCAGGTCACTTCATGATACAACTGCGTTAGACAGGAATGAGGGAGACAGAACCGAATGCAAGGAGAATGAGGGAGGGACTAGGGGAGCGCGGAGTCTCACGAGGGATGGGCAGATGGCACGGATGAAATAAGAACTAAACTGAACTTTTGCCCCAGCCAAGGTGCAATCAAAGTCTTTGAAGAAAAAACAATTCTGAATGTTGTATCATTTCTTTTCACAGTTTTGTAGTTTTGCCCCCTTTGACATCTGGAAAATCTCAGATGAGTGAAATGAAGAAAAGAAAAACAGAGTAAAATCCAGTACTTCTTGGGCTGAGGATTCCTACGCACCCCAAATAGATATGTGCATATAGACCTTTATAGACGTGTCACCTACATTTCTGTAAGTTCCAGCTATGAAGAGAGTAAATGCACGGAATTAGCTCCTGTATCTGCTCATCCTGTTCAAACTACTGCCTTCCCATTTGCTCAGTTTGGATCATCACCTCAAAAGAACTTTGGCAAATAAAGTACCCAGCCCCTTCCTCTCCTGTCTGCGGTCGCAAAGCCCTTAGTTTATGAGGCCATCCTAAAGCAATCAGTGTCAGATGGCTGGTGAATGGGCACTGCCCCTGATCTACGGCTTGGGAGAGAGCAGTCATCACACCTCAGCCAGTACCGGACTCCCCCCACTTTGTCATCAGGTGATGCAGGGGAGAGGGAGAGTGATTAAGCACCTGCACTTCAGAAGCAATGACTCTGCCCAGGCAACACCTTCCCTGTGACCCTCTCCCACTGTAAGGACACCACGGGTGTGGGCCCAGCAGCCCTGCAGGGAGCACATTTAATTCACTGCCTGCCCTTCTTTGCCCACCTTCAGGGAAACGATTCCACCCACACTGTGAAAGGCACCGTCAAAGGCACAGTTTTACCCTCCCACCCAGCACTCTGTTTCACAGCCTGGTCATACTTCCTGTCAATCAACATGCTTCTGACTCAAAATCAGGAGTTTGAGATGAAATACAAACAGCAGCTTCCACTGGCAGCAGTTGCTTTGGGCCGCACTTTTTCCGAGCTCTGAATGTGAAAAAAAAATCCTAAAATAATCAGAACAGCAAGCACCACTGTGTCTGAGGAACTTTGAATACTGTTTCTTCACGAAAACCATGTACAGATGAAGAAATGGATGTGGATAAAAGAGCATGTGGGGGTCCTTTATTAGCGGAATGGGAAGGGACAGCTGCAGAGCACAGAATTAAATACCCCTCCGTGTCTCAAGTTTTCACCTGACAGCATTTCAACTTGATGGGAAAGAAAGACCTTTAGGTAGCCTTTAACATTATCACTAAAATTGGTAAATAGCAGCATGTTGGTGAAGAGTCGATGCTCTGAATTTCAATTCAAAGAACCCTACCATTAAGGAGCTTCAGGGTTTTTAAAAGATGCATTGAATAGTACAGTCTATTTTAAAATCAGCAAAGCAAATGCTCTGATTTTTCTCTGCATCCTTCTTGTCTTTGGTCATCACTATAATCATTAAGAGAGATTATTTTCACTGGGGACTTTCAGCAGCTAAACTATGAGCAAACACTAGTAGAAGTTACGAGGTTTCCCAGCACACCTGGATGGCTTAGCCCATGATCACCTTCCACATCTGCATTAATGTAAACTTGCAATAAGAAAATATACTTTATTATTGTCATAGTATAAAGAAGGAGCCGTAAATTCTATGGAAAGTTTGGCCATCTACCCAGATTTGTGAAGGTGAGTAGGGATGGAGGTAGGATGGCAAGAATAAACTACACTTTTTAATCATCACAAGATCATGGATGACATTATTTTCTGGATTCATTCATCAAATATTCTGCTACAGGTTTAACTATGGCCTTCTCCCACACTAGATCCATTGTCATCTTACTGCCCAGTGTCTCAGGCTGTGAACATATTCAGCTTGTGTATTTGCAAAGGTCATCAAATTAAGTCAAGTCATTAGAGTAGCTCTTGAAGGCGCTGGGGATTTAGCTCAGTGGCAAAAGCACCTGCCTGGCAAGCGCAAGGTCGTGAGTTCGGTTCCCGGTACCGGAGAAAAACCAAAAAAAAAAGAGTAGCCCTTGAGCCAGTATGAGAGATGTCCTTTTCAGATTAGGATGCAGATATGAGCCAAGAGGAAGATGATGTGAAGACAGAGGGAGAAGTCAGCCATCTGCCAGCCAAGGAAAAATACCCAAAGCAGGTCCTCCCCTTCCTTCCCAGAAGGAAACAACCACACAATGACACCTTGATCTCAGGATAGCTTCTAGCACTACGAGCTGACACTTTGTTGTTTTAGCTGCCTGCTTTGTGCAGCTTTGTTACAGGAACCCTTAGTAAACCACAACATGTTTATCAAGATTGTGTAGCAGGCCCTTAAGTTAAATGCTGTCCCATATTCCTAAAATCTTTGCAAGCTTTTGGTCATACACACGTAAAACTGAGAGCTATAAGTTAAATAGCTTGCTCAGATCTGCAGCATTCTCAGCAGGCTTACATCTTGCATCCCCTGAGATGTAAGCCTGGACTTCTTGGACCTTCAAATTTTTGTAGAGCTACAGGTAATGCAATACTTTGTAATAGATGACTATATTTGTAAACTCAGGGGATACTTATAAATTGATGTGCATGTGGGTATATGTGTGCATGCATACATGAAGCAGAGACAGGGAGCACACATGTAACCACATGAACATAGTTGATGAAGCCTTCCTTAATCCACTGAGTTTTTTAGCTCATAACCAGTGGAAATTCACAGATCCGTTGTATCTGTACAACCGAGGACAATGTTAGAAGAACTGGTCAGAAAAACCTAGAGAAAGAAAGATTACCATTCAGAGGGATCTGTTTCCCCAAAGGCATTTGGGCCATTTGTAAATTCCTAGAGGAACCTCAGAGGCAAGGAGAATCAGAATTGCTTCACACTAATCATTGACTTCTATTATTGCATTAGCCGAGAGAAGATAGCCAAGTCTTTCAGCACTGGAACATAAGAAATCCCTTAAGTGGCCTGAAACTCATGCTAGATCATCACTCGCTATTGTCATAGAAATAATCATGCAGATTCTGCAGTGGAGGAGCGTGGCTGGTGGGACAGAGTTCGTGCATGACATATGATGTATGTGTTCAAAGGGACAGATACATCTTTCTTACTGCCGCTACGCAGCAGCTCCCATCCGCCGTCCCTCCCGTCCAAATCACCTCAAATAAATGTGCGTACTGCACCACTCACAGTAATTCCTTCATTTTTAAACACATAATGGAAATGTATAACTAGTGCTCATAAAAATTTATATCTCAATCCGTCCCGTTAATTTATAACAGGCCCTCTAGGCAGTTATTATTCAAACATTAATAAAATGCCTATAGATCACCAAAAGCAAGTGTCCCCAAGTTCACTTCTCTTCCTATTTGTACATATATAAAACTAGATGAGTGTTCAAGCCATTTTTAGTCCTAACAACAATTATGCCTTTAATAAGAGAAGGCTGCATGATGTATTATCTTAATCATGTGAGGGAAGGGGCTCCCATCATAAAACAAAAGTTGAATTTTTCATGCCCTTTGCAACAATTGTTACTCTTAATGCCCCATAAGTTTGGATTCTACAGTTTATGCAAATGTTCCTTTTCTATAAATTTTAGATTTATCTCCATTTGTCATTGTATGCATTCTAACATAAGGTGATTGTGTTTTTTTTTTTTCCTAAATATGATTAAAACCCATTTCAATTATTTATATTTGGCAAGACTTTTCCTCCACTGCAGGGTTCATGATATGGCTTTAAATTGTTAATAAATTTAATGCAAGTCCAAATGTCTCTTCAGTTTCTAAATATAGCTGTTTTGAAACCGATTTCATCGAAGCAAGTGAAGAAGATCACAAGCACGCAGCTATTATTTGCGTTATGCAGCTGTAACGTTGCATTCCGAGCATTCCACCAAAGGGTAGCTTTTCACCCTCCCAATTCTGCAGTTTACTTCTTCCTTCTGCTGTTTGCCCATGAACCTTACAACCTCACTGCACGCGTTTTCCTGAATTAAAGAATAAATAAATAAATAGCTGACCTGCGTTCTCCTCTAAATTTGAGCATTGCGTTTCAAAGCCCTTGATGCTTTCTGAAGAGATTTTGTACAAAGCAGAGCTATCACCACAGAAAACAGAAGCACTGAGAATGTCTTTTCTAACATTTTTTTAAGCAAACATTCTCTGATATTACTGGTAGGTCTTCATGAATGCTTACAATAAGTGGCCTAGAGAGATCACTTTTCAGACCGTGAGAAATCCAAAGCTTCTGTGTGGTATGTGTTCCTAAGAAGAGTTTCTTTCCTTAGTAAGTTCAATTTCTCCCTATCCATCTCTCTCCCCAGCCATTTAAAAATGCCAGTGAGAACAAAATTTAAAATGATGAGAGGTTTTCAGTGGACCAGGAAAAAATCCTTAATAAGGCCCTTGACTTCAATATATTAGCCAATTTCCCACAGATTTTATCATGACTATTGATTTTTCACCTTTGTGATCCCATTTCAATAGATTCACAGCAACAAAGCTGGAATCACGGGTTGATTCTGGTTAAATGTTAGTCGTTAGTGCTAATGAGCTTCTGTACCTTTAAAAAGCTAACTCGGCTTCAGTCTCTTTATATCCTGAAAGTCTAACGGTCTTCTCACTAATTGGTTCTGTGTAAATGAAACAAACTGAAAAACACCGTGGCACCAATAAATATTAATAAGTTATTGTTTGTTTTCTTTACCTTACTTATGAATTCATACAAAGACAGTGCTAAGACATTAACTCCAGTCTATTAATTGCCACCTGATAATTGCCACCTGATACTTTTCTCCTGGATAATTAGGTACCCATTAGTTCTAATCAAGTAGTTACTTAATTATTGCAGTAATTAGTCTAATGGACTAGCAAATTGAAGCTTTATCACTTTTGGATACTTAATGTTCCTGACAGAGTACTTCACAAGTGTCAGGGTTCCGGATTCAGCAACCTGTCATCTGAGAACCCCCTCCTCCTCTTCCACTGCCTGTTATCACCGCATCCTTTCTCCCTGACATGGCTGTGGAGTCTTCCAGGAAGTAACTCAAACTTGACTTCCTCCTTCCTGGGCCCAGGACATCCTGAAAAATTTAACAAAGGTACAATTCTCTATCTCTCTCAGACTGCCCACTCAATGGCCCAACTTCTAGATGACCTGAGATATCATTTCTACAGTCTCTCTACATTTTATTGGATGGTACCTCATTGAACCAGACCTGAGGAGGAAGGAAAATTCTTGTTTACGAATACAAAAGGTTCTAATTGATAGTAGCATCCCAGGTCTTTCCCACCAAATAGAGAGATGATATATAAGAACCAGGTGTGCTACTGTCATTCCCGCATTATAATTTCTGCATACAGGAACTGAAAGAAGGCATTAGTCCACCTAAATTGTAGATGACTAACTAAAAGAGGGCCTGGAAAATGATGAAATCACTTTTCAGGATAATAGTATCACTTCTTTTGCTGAAGAATCTCCATGGACTCCATTGATTACTCTTTCTGTAAAATGCACTTCACAATTAGCAAACAACCCAGAACATTCCATAATGGGGTGGGTCTCTCCATTTCCAAAGCCGATTATTCCCTACTTTGCATTTCCTAGACAGCCACTTATGGCTCCACCTCCTGGATCCTCTTTTTTGACTGAGCAGTATGTTTCAGTCGTTTACCCTGCCAATCTGTACATTTGGGTGGACCTCCAGGGCTGTATCCTGGGTTTTACTTACTTCCTCAGTTGTTTATTAAAATCTGTGTTCCCTCATGTGACCACACTTCTGCAAATAGCTTACAGACCAGATCTGGTCAGCTTTCTGCTTAAACGCTTTCAAAGCTTCCCCTTTACTCTCATAATACTCTCCAGACTCCTGAACTGACCTAGGCATTCTTGCTGGATGTGCACCCTTTCCTCTCTAGTCCTCCTTGCATAACATTCTTCCTCACATGGAACATTCTAGTCACTTGTGCAGACACCTTTCTAGTTACTGGTTGCATCCAGTTTGATCCTGTTGAAAGACCTTTTCCCTCGCTCTTGTTTGTTCATTTGTTTGTATTTGCAGAGTATTTCCCTGATCTTTTCAAGCCCAGTTCTTTTGTTTTGTTTTGTTTTTGTTTTGTCAGTTCAGATGTCATATCAAAGAGACCATCCTTGAATACCGTATCCAAAACTTCTCCCCACATAATTACTTAATTCATAGGTAGTTTGATTCCTTTCTGGTTCTCAGCAGGAAATACTATCATAGTCGCAGGGATTAAACTGCCTGAAAACAGGGACCTGGCCTGTCTCATTTGCCTCTGTTATCCACAGTTCCCTAAGAAGTACATCAGGCATAGAGTGCTTGAATAAATTAATGAATGGAAGAGAAAAATCACTCTTCTATTCTTAAAAACTACTAAAGTTATGAAATCCTTTCTTCTGATAGTAAATTTATATTCTTAGATTCTAGGAAGAGAGTGGGCTCATTAAGTTCCACGTGTTTCCACCCTGTGCATTCAGGGTTCCTAGTGTACTGGGCCCCGTGGAGCATACAGAAATGGAACAAATCATCCGCCGTTGGTTAGCAGTGTGGAGTGAGACAGACCTGTATTCACATTCCAGCTTTCCCATCATGTGACCTCAGGCTTTGGTTTCTTCATCCAAACAATGGGAAGAACAGCAACAGCTAAGTGGCAGAGACCACATTAATATTTTTTGAGATAATAAATATGAAGTTTTT